TAATCTAAAATCATAGTTATCTTTAAAATACATTAAATGATGCTATTCTTACTAGTGTGTGTCGGTAGGCCGTATGTAATAATAGCCACTCCTAGCAGCTGAATCTGATTGGTCTTGAAGAGAAGAGGTGGTTCATGTTCTCAACATAATTTTGTAGACAGTACCTGTTGCAATATAAATCTGTTGATAGACCAATTTATTTCTTCATGTATTCTTTATTTTAACAAATACGAGTGTACTTCAAGAAGTTCATGGAAAGATTTTCATTATTTTTTAATTCTATTTTTCCGTGAATTTTTTGAAGTATGTTTGTAGCTCTTGTATCTGATATCTGCCAGAAATTCCACAGGACATTGCCATATAGCAATAAACAAGACCAACACGGTTTGTTTCCTGAAGGATCTTTTATAAACACCTTTGTTGTAATCCATTTTAACTCAGGTTTAAGAATGGTGAAGAGATCATCCCCACTTCAAAATCAAGATACCGAGTTAAAGTCGAGGGCAAAAAACACATCTTGATCATAGAAGGAGCTACAAAAGCCGACTCAGCAGAATATTCAGTAATGACAACAGGAGGACAATCGTCTGCTAAACTCAGTGTTGACTGTAAGGAAACATTCTGTAGATGTCCTCTAGATTGGCTTACTGATGATGTTGTGTTTGTTCACCCAGTTTTAGGAAAGTTTCAATCTATTTGATTTCTACTTGTGGTAATTTTAAGTATGTAAAATGGATTTCATTCTATCTATGTCAGATCAACCAGGGTCTCTGAGAAAGGAACCGACCACTCCATTTAATAGTAGAGCACCAGTGTTAGGAAAGAAGCATAAAAAACATCTGTCAGAAAAGTTACCCAACTGGTTATAATCCCAAGATCATATAAATAGATTGTAAATACTCAGATAAGATATAAAATCCTGATATTTGCTTAATCCATAGGTGTACTTGCTATCTATTCATTAAATGAACATTCAGCACTCTGCAATCACATTTGGGGTGAGAAAAAAGTTATTCAAACCAAGGGGGCTCAATTTAGAAGATTGCAAGAGCTGATTTGCTAATAGGCTTCAGAGGCATGAGGGAATTAATGTACTTCCCAAATGCTTTCTAATAGTAGTTGTCAATGGCAGAATCTGTCCCTTGAAAACTAAAGTAGCAAATATCTCAGGATGGTTGGTAATACAGGCAGTTAAGCAGTTAGTCCAGATGCAGTTCATACAATCATTGAATTATTCAGCAGCAATCTCAATACATTCCTTATGTTTCATGGATCTGTGGCCATTTTAGTTTAACATCAAAGTTTTTCAGCCATACTCATGCAGATCCTTATCTGATATTTGTATCCATTTAAAGCAATTACAGTCAGTTTTGCTATAATCCAACATATGCATTTTTAACATCATTATGCTATGCAAAGTCATGCAATAAAAACCACGGGGTTGGGCCGGCCCGGTGGCGCACTGCTGTAGTGCACCGCTTGGGAAGCGTGGTGGCGCTCCCGC